TCCAGTCCAAGACCGAATAACAATAGGGAATTTTGAAATGTACGATCGGCTACAATTGCATGTTTTATTTGATGTCTTGTCTTGATCGTGAGAGTCATAGAGAAACCAAGCGATCATTAAAATTTGAAAGCAATCTGGATTATGGATGATATGGAGCCACGAACAGGGAACAGCAGGACATTTGCAGATTTTGCCAGCTGCACTCACTCAAGAAAATATCTGACCGTCTCAATGGTTTGTAAGCTCCCTAACACAACGCAAACTGCACAAACTGGGGTTCCCAGCCATCTCTGCCAAGTCTGCAGCGTAATTTCCAGCATGGTCCTGGAGCAGCTTGGAGCAGCTTGGAGCTGCATGGCTCAGCCTGGGTGCCTGATCTCCACTCTCCTGCAAGGAATCGCACAGGCCACAAGAGTCACGGAGCCAGCCTCAGTGGTACAGGGGGAAACTAAGACCAACTAAGACCAACTAAGACCACAACATGAAATCTTGCAATGATTTTAAACTTTTCTGATTCCATTTTGAACTTTCTCCGCGAGATACTGTGAAATCATTTGACGTGCTCTGGCCCTGAGCTCCCCAACGGCAGAGATCAAGATGACCAGCCCAAGCAGCCTCTTAATCGTCTGGAACAGCAAACAACGTGTACCTTGCGTGACAGTTTCACTAGGTTTCACCGCACCACAGCCTTGTGAAGGCAATTGTGGCCATGATTTTGCACCGCTCCAAAATCGCAGCCATGAGACCTCAACCTGAGCTGGTCTTTTGAGCCAAGAGAGACAAAATTGAAAGGGACCAACAAGGAAACTGGAATCAGTGTGGCAATGGCCACTGCAAATGGGTGTCTATTTTTTTGAATAGCTTTTGCTTCAAATTTACTGCACATCTTGATTTGTGAGACAGGTAGCATACACAAGCACAGCTTGAGTGTGTGATTCTGAGTTCCTTACCACTCTGCCAGAGAAAGCAAGTTGCTTCCATTCCTGGCCACGAAGGACAACATTCGGGTTTGCACATACACGCTTTCAGCTTCAATTTTCTTGTTTGAATCTTGCTTGAGACACTGAAGTTGAATTCCACCAAACACCGCAGGACATAACGTATGCCAATGGGAACTCTCCCGCTCGATCCTTTGGAGCCTGGGAAGCGCTGCGGCGGAAAGCAAAAGAAGGTGGAAGCAGGTGTAGTTTTTGAGTCTGCATAGCAAACTTGCGCTGCATTCCACTGAAGAAGTACTGGGAATGTTTTGTATCTTTTGAGTTGTTTCTTGAAACGCATTTGTGAATTCGATACTAGTGGGCTGTGGACGCCTGAGAAAAGACACCGCAACTTAAAAGGGTAGTGCAAACAGGGTCAGCCATGTCCGAGTACACCAACAAGGCCCGGGGTGCAGTGGTGATTACCAAATTTTCAAGTCAGGGATTGGTAGAGACAGAGAATGTACGTGATGGTTTGCACGGTTCCCTGAGCGCCGGAACTTGTGAGAGCCAATGTGCCACTGAACATCCAAAACGATTCTGTTGCAAAGGATCTGATTGAGCCTCGAATGTGTCAGGGCATGGGGCGCCTTGGGATGGCACTGTGGATATCTGTGGATCCCGTCCCAAGTTTGGTACGTTGCTGCATTGCTGGGCGATAGAAACATCCGCAGAAACATGCAGCAGTCCCAAATCGAGTCCATCACCTCTTCGACAAACCAACGGCTCGTTTGGAGATGATTTTGCCAGACCTCAGGCAAAACCATCAGTCGACATGAGAATGAGAATGAGTTTGGAACATCTTTAAAACTGAGTGAGCATTGCAGCATTGTGGTTGAAATTCTCTTTGTACATTTAAACGACTTAAACGACTTAAACTCTCTTTTGAAACGAATGGCGAAACTGTTGCTCTGCTTGATGTCATGTCAGCTGTGGGCCCTTGGACATGGCCAAATCTGCCTAGGCACTGCCAGCTGCAGTGGTGACACCTGCCGCATGGCAAATTCCACAAGGCAATCAATTACACTGGCAGAGATCTCAAATAGCACCAGAAAATTGAACAGCTGGATTGCCTTTCGAATCAACATAGTACACTTGTGCTGGGACACATACCGAAAAGGAACTGGAAAAGACCGGCAGGCCAACGAATAAAACTTGAGAATCTAATTTTTTGAACATACGCAACATCCCTGAGGCCCTTGTGCACCAACATGGTTGTCTACGTCCAATGCAGCACTTGTACTTTCTATTTTTTTCTATGTTTTTTCCTGTTGTCGAAACATGTTGAAAGATGTTGAAACGTCACAGAAACTTGACGTTCGACAGGGTTTCTCGATAACCTCCTGGCCTCGTCCCGCGCTTTGGCGTCAGGGTCAGCGCGCTGCATCAGAAGCCATTGGCAGATCTGGGAGAGGAACGAAGAACGAACGAAGAACGAAGAGAAAACCAAGAGAAACTGCCAAGATCTTGGGAAACGCTTGGGAAATCTTCCAATCTGAAACTTCGTGATATTTAGTGATATTTCGTGTGTTTGTGTCTCAGTGTAGACCCAGGGAAGCTTGGAAAATCCTCAGGATAGTGGTCCCATAAAACAGTGCAAGTTGACTCCTTGGGTCTCAATAGCTTGGAGTGAGAAACAATTTCCTCGTGGACTACGTGATTTACACATCGTACTTTTGATCCATCGAAAAGAGATTACACACAGTTCATCAAATGTCACTGTGACCTTGGATCTTTCCTTCTTCCAACACATGTTAGAATATGTCAACATATTAGTCAACACGGTAATTGACATTAATTGACATTAATTGACATTAATTGACATTAATTGACATTAATTGACATTAATTGACATTAATTGACTAATCAGTTTGACCTGCACAGCTGCACAGCATCTGCAATTAATCCATGTTTTTCGTTTTGTTGGTTTTGTTCGGCTGTCCTCCTGTCTCCCGTTTCGTGCTGCATAGTGCATCGCAGTGCGTTGGTTCCAGGTCCTGGCTGCAAGATGCCAAGTAACGATGCCAAAACGATGCCAAACGGTAGCTGTTATAATAAACACATCATAATCACATAATGGATAAAATGTATATATTATGTGATTATTATGTGTTTATGGCTAAAAGTTATAAACACATTTTATGAAAGGATTTTCATGTGTCAAAGGAGAATCATAAAGGATCTCTGGTCAATACCTCTCGAACGCAAATGCTTTCAACGTGTTCCAACGTGTCGCAATTTCAAGGATCAAACACATGCCATGATGACAGAGCAAAGATCATCCCTGGATCCAACTGCAAGAGGAACTTGCACGCTGCCAAATGACCGTTGCCTGCTGCAAAACTGACCACTGCAAAGCCGGCATCACTGGCTGAAACTATTTTTGAAAAACTGTCCAAATGACCGAGCACAACACTTCCGACTAAAATTGCCGATGACTTGTGCCATTTTTCAATGATTCCAGAGAAACCCAGATCTCCAAACCTGTGCTGAAGAGATGTTAAAGTGGACAAAGACCAAGAGGATCACACGGCACACACGGCACGCACGGCATCTGCCTGCAGCCCAATGAAAGCAGCTGCAGCCGTTGTGGTCGCAGGCGCTGAGCACTTCTTCCACCGGCAAAGCTTGCAACGCCTCCCGAGGCAAAGCTTGCCCTAAGGACAGCATATACGAGCATTACTAAGCATTACAAGATAATCTATTTCAGCGTATTTGTTAAATGTCAGCAGCATATTTCTCAACATTCAATAGTCATGATCTGGAGCTCTCCGGAACCGTTTATGCTCATGCATCATCCTGTTTTCTCCATCACCTTTCCCGCTTTCTGCGTTTCAAGTTTGCCCTTTCCATCCTGCAAGTTGCCCTCGCGCGCAGCAATGATGGCCGGACTCTCCTGCACAAGGCAGCCCAGTTTTTGCCGACAACTAATGTTCCTGGCAACCGTGAGACCGGTCCTTTCGATGGGAGTCCAAATCACCGTATCTTAGGCTTGGATCATGGTGCCCATTTGAAACATGACCCAATGGAGCACGAACTCAGCACCTTGTTGCCTTTGCGACCAGGATGGGACTGGCCGATGCTTGGGTCGAGGTGGCGGTAAAAGGACAAAGTTGAAAAAGTGGTGAAGATGAAAGGTAAAACGGAACGGCTAACGGCTAAAGGGACTCCTTACAGTCGCTATACAGTCGTTTTCTGTTTACAACTAAATATTTGCTGGTGATAGTACGCTTGGAAGATCTTTAAAGATCTTCAAAGGATATATTCGGATATATTGCCGGCTTCCTCCTCTGAGTTCTGCTAGAACTTGCAGCCCCTGCCTTCGCTTTGCCGCCTGGCAACACCATGTTCCACCCCACTGTGACAGGGGCAGTTGCGGTTTCTACAAACTGGACCGAAGCCGTGCATACCAATATCAGCTCAAAAGAGTTAAAGAATTGCTTGCCGTCGACTTGATGCGATTGCAGAATCATTTTTGACAAATATCTGGGAGAAATCCCTTGGATGGTCCAAGTAGAGAATAATATGGAATCAGAGCATATCAGAGCTATGTTTACCATCGAGATACCATCGAGTACCAAATCTCTGTAAAGCGGCTTTGCCCTTGCCTCGTTCCATCAGAAGGACAGGCCATAATGGATGGCGGACCGTTGGGTCGAATCACTTTTCGTCACATCTGTCTGCATCAACTTTGCAAAGCCCAGTTCAAACCGCTCCAAAAAGAACAAAGTTGACATAAGTTGACACCCTGGTCATGACTGTAGCCTTGCAGCATCTTGCAGCGGCCGTGGTGTTTGTGGCTTCAGCTTTCAATGGAGCTGCGAAATCCAGCAATGGCCGCGTGCAAATTTGTGTTGCAAATTGTTGAACCATGTTAAGATTGAAACACCTCAGCATGACACTGTCCACATTATGAAATCTACAAGTCCTCCGTCCTGTGAACTCACTGACGTGCTCCGGGCGGTGTTAACCTTCAACATCTTCAAAGCACAGCAAGCACAGCTTCTGTGTCACAGGGTTTTTGTGGCACATTTCAGCCGTTCTTCGGCTGGGCTCATCGGAAGCATGGTAACGGTTCGCATCGGTTCGCACTTTTCATGCGATTCCCGCTCTGTACACACGCTCGCTTTTCAACTATCACGCTGCAGAATGTGACTTCAGTACTGACACGGACTTTCTCTAGAATTGAGTTGGCTATGAAAAACATCTAAGACGTTACCAATGCTGTGCATGTACATTCCATCAGCGTTGCATTGATTCTCGTTCAAGTTTTTTTTTCACTTTTTCGGCCTTCCTGGCCGCGTTCCAGCACAGCTGAGTTGATGTGAAAGCTTGGAAGACCCAGGCTCTATGGATATAGCTCTCATATAAATCAACACTGCCGAACATGACTGAACATTTGCTGAAGATGTACATAGTCTCATTGCAACTGGTACACCTCTCATCATTCACATCCTTTTCATTTTCAAAAAACATGATGTCTTTTCCCAATGATCTCTGTAAAATCTTGACAAAAATCAATGTCGATCATAGTCACTACTTAGTCATTTCACTGTCACTAGTAGTGCTATTACTATTATTGTATATATATATATATTTGAATATTTCGTAATATATTTATCCCAATTTTCTCCCCATCTGGTCCCTGGAAATGGCACCTCCTCGAAAGCATCGGTGGCCCAGCCATGGCGGACAACAGTGAGTCGGTGGGGAGCAGCCCGAAGGGCCGTGCCACGGACAACGACTCCTGGAGATGTCTGTTGAAAGAAAGTGACAAAATAATCTGTTTAAAACTGTTTAAGCATTTTAAGCATATTTACTGATGCCATGATGTTGCATCCACCCCAAAATGGGCTTCTCCTGAAAAAAAAATGTAGGTCTACCCCACCAATCCGGTTGAGACATTCATTTTCCATCATTTTCTTGGCAATTCTGAGGTAAGCTGGGCCATTTTCATGCTGGAAAACAGGATCCCCGTGTCCTCCAAGTGATCTTCCATGGACCTGGAGAAGATGGTGGAATCGCCTGAGAGAGTTGCAAAGGTTCAACAAACCTCTCCAAGGATGAAGCAAAGAGAGCTTGCTGCAAAGATGTTGAGAGGCAGAACGTCTATGAATATGTCACAATAAAGCAACTAACCAGAACTAAACCAGCATTAAAAAATTGTGACAAATCAACTGGCATCGGCATCAGCACATTTTCTTCCAAAAATCCCCAACGGTCCAACGGTCACAGGACCGCAACGGGCCATGTTGGGCCCTCGTGCAGAGGTCATCCTCCCATTGCCGCAGATGCCCGGGAGCCGCCGAAGGACCCATTCCATCCAGCAGCATCACCGGCTGCCAGCGGTTCTGCCTTAACGGAAAAAAAACACGGTCTGCCAGGTAGATATGACATTGATATATTATGATATATTGTAGTTATTTATAATTCACATGTTATGACTCATCTGACTCAGTGCCATGACAAAACCAATACAAAACCAACATTGTGCAAGGACTGAAGGAAACCACCTGATTGTCATGGCGATGCCATGCGATGCTCGGATCTTGGGCTCTGCACGGTTTGCTCCAGAAGGGCAATCGCACCGTCCACATTTCCACGGAGCTTCGCGGCAGCAAACCTCACAGTGCGGGCTCATGCGGGCTCGCCGGAGCAGGTGCAAGTTGATGCTGAAAGTGGTCGGCATTTGATAGCCCCTTTGGGTCCTTTTGGGTCCCTTTGGGTCCCTTTGACCGTTCGGACCAAGGTTCACACTTGAGTTGTTTAATCTCCTTGTTGGTGCTCTGCAGATTCTGGAACTGGAATCACGATGTTGTTTTCTTGAGCTTCTTCCAATAGGTTACCCATGGTTACCCTGTGCCTTCGGTAGGCAATGGCCATGGGCTTCCAAAGAGCCGATGGACAAAGAGGTTCATGCAGCCCACCGCCTGGAAGGATCAGAAGGATCAAAACACACTGCGAATCACTGGGATGTGATGCGATGTGGAGTTGTTTTTGCTCGTGGCCACAGTGGCCACAGTACATCACTGACCGACTTGAACATCTTGCAGCTCTTTTCTGCCAAACATCTTGAAATACTGAAACCATCTCAATCTGCTGACTGTTTGGGGATGAACTGGGTTGCCTTCAGCAAACTCTTTCAGCATCACAGTGTTTTGTTGATAATTGATGAACTCGTCCAAATACTCCCAGTGCACTGTACAAGAGATCTGAAGAGTCACCTGTGGAAATGCTTGGGAGTACATGTACTCTGCTGCTTTCAGGGTAGCCGCCTTGGCGATGTTGGAAGGACTGCTTCGCTCAGCTAGTGGCATCCAAGATCGGTGTGGGGAATTGCATGTGAGATGGCCCGATATCCGATCGATCGAGCAATCTTACCATATCTAATAGAATTTAACCCCTTGAGTGAGGCACCACCACCCGCAAAGGGGGCAACCTCGTGACCCCTGCTACGTTGCTGTCCTCAGTGCCCAGGGAGAACCGGGGAATACTACTGAACAACACAGTTACCTCATGGTGCCTTCAACCAACCGCATGGGAATGGGTTACGACTGAAATGAACATATTTAATCAAAGGATTCATTGACCGTCTTCTAACTAGCTTCTCACCAAATGGATAGCCAATGCGATGGAATGCCCTTCTTATGGCTTCCGAAACTGAAAGCAATGTCTCTGCTTATTGGAATTTACTGAGTGCCCCGGACAATATGCAGCCCCTGCGTTGACCAGACTGCGCCTGCCGCGTCCAGGTGCCAGAACGATAAACGGTTCAAACATCTTCAGATCACCAACTTGTCTGCCCAGAAACACCCAGGCTGCAGCTCACAAGGGGGTTCGACAACTGTAGAGGTTTGTTGCTAGAGATATATGCCCTGATCAAGCTGCTCTCTGGCCGTTTGACAAAAAAGGCAACCACTTGAGTCAAGCAGTGCGCTAAACGACTGTGAGGGTTCATCAAAAAATGCAAGTTGAGTTTTGACAGCTGATGCAACTCAATCGTTACTGCAAAGAGTCCGCCCACTATTTTTTTTTCCATACCTTGCAGGCGGAAGAGTGCCAAGAGTCGGCACGTGGAGCATTTCTGTCTGACTCCTTCCAGCAGCCGGACCTGGCTACGAGCTCCAGCAACCAGGCGAACCCTGCATTGTTGCAGTCACGGCTGTCTCACCCCGTGCTACTGCGGGCTTCACTTGCCACGCTGCCTGGCACATTGACAGCTTCTCTGGTGGTCTGGTAACGCTTGACCTCCTGTGTGTGAAGCTCGTCGTGCGGGTTTAACCTGGCCAGGTTCACCAACAAGTCTTTCACCTTCGCCAGGTCTCCCACGGCGTATGTCTCCCTTGTCTTCTTGGTGTGATCTGCAGCAGCGAAGTAGTCTTGGCGGGTCCGATTCTTGGCAAGGAAGTGGAACCGGCGTTCCAAGTCGGAGGAGTGCCGCTTCGAAGTGCATTGGATCAACAAGTTGAGCGCCCGAAGGCTGGTTCCGTCTGGATAGTCTTCCTTTTTGTACGACCGAAGGCGGCTGAAGCGCAAGTAAAAGATCTCCGGGTACTGCGAACTTCTGATTTTCAAAACATCCTTGGTGCCCAACCTCAGCGTCAGCACGTGGCACACGTAGATGCGCCTCTCAAACTGGTTCCAGGGCTGGCTCAGCCGCAAGCTGCGCGTCAGCACTTCCAAAAGGCTGATGTGCCGTGGCTTGTCCTTGGAGAACGTGAGGCCGTTGCGCAGCTGCTGCTCGCACTTGAGAAGGGAACAGCCCTTGAAGTCACTCCATCCGCTGCTCTCTCCACTTCAAATCAGAGTCCGACGGTACGACTCCTTCCGCTGATGCATGGTGCGCAGCCGACTTGTCTGTCTGGTTTGGATTTTTCTTCCATGCATATGATCGCACTGCCACATGCAATAATACAACAACACCTGTAAAACCTTGAAAACATCATCCTTCTCGTCGTAGACTTACTTGCAAGAACTCAAGTCATGTACAGCGCAACTTCTATGAGGGGTCACAGAAAGGTCACCACTTGAGTCAAGCAGTGCACCAAACGATCACGAGGGTCAACAAGAGAGGCGCGACGCAACCAAGACGCCGGATGGTGCTCTGCCTGCATCGATCCCACCTGCCGTTTCCACTCATCCTTCTCCTGCTCCAACAACTGCATTTGCTGCGTCAGGAGGTCAAGCTTGGACTCTGCAACTTCCTGTCTGGCTGCTTGGGCTTCATTGGGCGCAGTCTGAGCTGCCAAGTTGACATGAGCCTGTCACAGCTCGTCTTGCAGATTCATCATTTTCAAGGCGATCTCCGTTGGTACTGCTGTCATAGGCGCTGCCACGGGCCGTCTTTCCCGTGGCCTGGGGTTGTACTCATCTGAGAAGCAGCTACTGGTGCCGGTGAGGTGCCCATGACGTCTTGCATATCTGGCATATCTCGCAACCAAAGCGGTGCAGCGTCACGCCGCACCACCACTCGAGGAGGCGAAACACTGTCACTGTCCATGACCTGTGAACCCATGTGCACCAGTGTACCTCCCTGAGGTTGTCCCCTCTGAGAGGATATGAGAGGGGATCCTGAACCGAGGTTGATCCAGGGACGCATGGCTTCCAACCCGCTGCTGGATGCTTTGATGCAAAGAGCTAGTGAACAAGTGATGATATGCAGATAATCCTTCTGTGCTCGAACCTCTGCTCGAACCTGTGCTCGACTCAAGTGGCTTTTGCACTGCTTGACTCAGGTGTTTTTTTGTTGCTAGAGATTCTCTTATGGTTTTTTGGCACGTGCCAGACACAGCTCACTCAAGTTGATGCTCCGGTTCTATATGTTGCGCTGTACTCACCACAGCGATCTCTGCACATGTTGAGATCCAAACAGTTTTGTAGTATTCTTTCTGCATCAAAATACAGCACACACTACACACACACACAGATTGGTTAAAGATTCATTGCACAAGGTCTGAGGCATTTTTAGTCTGCACTGCTTGCGGGATCAAACATGTGGCCGCGCACCGTCAGCCAACAGACCCTGGAGAACCAGGTCTTCCTCGGAGATTTCCTGTGCATTCCAGCTGTGGAACTTTTCAAACGAAATGAGCGCATAAAAACATTACATAAACTAGATATAACTAGATCAACAATACGAACAATATAGCAATAGCATCAAAATGCATCGACATGCAAGACCACACAGAACAACATTTCACATATCAAACATATTCAAACATGTAATCATGTTTCACACATGTTCCTAGCGGACCCCATTGCTCCTTTTGCACGAATGTGGGATCCTGGCCAGGTTTTCACAACGTGACTCTGAGATGCTGATGGATTCAATGTGTCACAAGCACCGAGTTGTTGATCAAGAGACAGTAAGCCATCTCTCACAGAATGTGTTGCGAAGTCTATCCCCTGAGCTTTACGGTGTCTAGGCCTGAAGCAACTCTATGAACATGTCATGTGTTGAAACCCTGCAAGTGGCTGCAAGTGGCTGCAAGTCCGGGCTGTTCAAGGTCCCGCTTCACGTCATGCCACAGCCAGACTGCAGACTTCTCCCTCCTAATTCGTCATGTTTTGACGAAGAAAGAATTCGGAATGCCAACCCGAAAGGCCGAAAGGCACTGCCTAGCGGTTCAAACCTATCAAACCTGCCCGGGTCGGAGCCTTCTCTTTCAACTTTTTGGTCCCTGGTCTTACCTCAGGATATGATCTTCGCAATCCATAGGGCCATAGGGGCAGTGCATTGTGAACATACCATAGCTGCCATAGCTGACTTTATTTGTGGTAATCCATTCTGCAGATGGAATCCGCAGCCTGAACAAAGCAAAATCGTACCGCATCGGCAAAGGATCTGTCTAGTGCGACTTAGATAAGCGCGTCTCTTTCCACTGCCAAAACAACATACATTCACAATCATTCACATATTAGGCAAAAATAATAGATAAATAGATATGTAAACCGTGTAAACCCCACTGTAAGATTTTGGCTTCTACAGCGAGACGCTGTTGAGCCTCCCGTAAAAAACAAGGTGGCGTCAATGTCGGACAGGTGACTGTGGAACGTCGCCCGGGCTTTGCGGACAACGATGCCATCATGGCCACTTTTCGCACCGACCTCGGAGATGGCGATGGCACCGAAGTATCGTTAACCACCGAAATATAGTACGTATATATATGTAATATATATACATAGATATATTGTATATATATATATATATTGTGTGAACAAATGAATCCTTGTTCTGGATATCTCTGATTGGTGGTACCTTTGTGCTGGGACAGCCGAACCTAACGAAGCATTGCTAGCATCACGCGGTTGTTTTCCTCTCAGCGGGCGCTTGAGCCACAATGGGCGTCCGTTATGTAGTGCAGTGCTCATATCATACATGCACCTAGCGCCTGGTTCCCTTTGACACCCCCCATGTCCGTGGCATGCTTCGCGCCACGAACACGAGAGAGGGAACTTTGAATTAGACTCTTTCTGCTACTTGAATTACGCCTATGTACATAAAAAAAGACCTGCCATTCGGATCCCCCTTTCCCACATACCCGTCGGGTATAATGGTTCAGGGTTCACCTACTCTTTGGCTGTCGATGCATTGGCGTTTCATCAAGCTGTACAACGCGAATTATTGCTAGCTAACACCTACTTTTCTACGTTGGCTAAGCTCACCACTCACCCGTCGGGAGAAATGGATCGCCTCGCTACCAAAGACTTACAGTGCTAACTAACGAATTCACGTGCACAATGCAGAATCTCGTGCAGATTGGGAATATCAAAAGTTCTGAACCTAAGCGAATTAGTCTAATGCCTCGCTCAGAGTCCACTCAGTTGGTCTTTTCCTGATCATCTGTTCACAAAGACGATACACATCTTATAGACCAGTGATCATGAAGCAGTTGGTTTACTCCTCACGGCGGACTTTCTTCCATTGGGGTGCTGATGGAGGTTTCTCCCATTGTGCCGCACGTTTTGGAGCAGCTTTCGGCGATGAAGGCTTTGCAGGCGGCGCCTTCGATGGTTCATGGGATTTTGGCATAGCTTTGGCTTTTGGTGCGCTAGCCGATGAGGATGATGCCGAACCAGTGCCTTCAGGTTTCTGCGAAGGTTGCGCGGGTGGTTTGGTAAACTTGGAAGCTGCAGTGTGCCCAACCGCCTTGAACACTTCGCTCACCACTTCGTCACCAAGAGTTGGAGCCATCTTCATTTTCATTTCGGTCTTTCCCCTTTGCGCTTCAGCCTCAGCCAGCTGAATAGCATATGCCATCTTGCTGACAAAATTTTGTGGTAAGGCAATTCCACACTGTTGGGCTGCAAAGAGCAACTCTACTCTCTGTTCTTTCTCCCTTAGGCTCAGATAGACTGAGAATGCCGGAAGTTCGACGCAGTCGGGGAAGCCGTGGCTCCCGGAACGAAAGAAGGTGTACGACTCATGCTCTGGGAACGTCCCTTTGAGAAGTCGTCGAAGGAAATTGCTGATTGTCACTCGCATCTCCTGCTTCCCTTGGGCATCAGCCTGCATTCGGTTCATTGGCATGAGGAAGCCTAGTGATTCTGGAGTGTATCCGGCGCATACCAGAAATTCCATCATCTTTTCATAGATCTCCAAAGTCTTGATGACAGGCATCATCATGTTTCTGGGTCGTCCTGAATACAACTTCTCTCCTTCTGACCATGAATTCCTCTTCGCTTTCTCCTGAAAGAGTTCGTCCAACTCCAGCTCCGTCGGTCGCTTGAGGTTGCCATCCTGGTCTTCTCCTGTATAAGGACAGAAGTCGTCCAGGTCCAGCCGGACTCGCTTGGTCTCTGTCATCATCTCATGGTATTCCTCTGGGGTCATGGTGACTCTTTGTTTGTAATAAAACCGGAACATGGTGATGATCTTTGACATGACTGCATTGTCGTATAAGTGAGCCGCGGCCTCGGAGACATCATTGTTGATGAGTCCATCTTCTGGCATACCCTTGCTGCCGCTCTCGAGGTTCTTGGTCCATGCTGGAAGTTTGTTAGAGGATTCATCTTCGGGTTCGATGTCCATTTCGTCGTCGTCATCTTCAACGATTTCATCGTCCTCTTGTTGGGCTTCCTCCTCTTGATCCATTTCCTCATCATCGCCTTCGTTATAATCGACCTCATCGGGATTGAAGCCATAGTCGTTGGATTCGGACACGTTCTCTTGTGCTTGATTGACCGTATCCTTGAACAATGACTCTTCTTGTCGACGAACTTCTTCATCGAGCTCTTTCTTCGAGGCCTCATCCTCATCATCTTCAGGAGCTTGTAGCCGATATGGACGGATTCCACAACTTTCAAGTTCCGTCCAGCAAACTAGACAAACTGCTAGCTTTGTCGGCGTCTCATTGAGACAGTGAGGACAATGGCGGCAACCTGATGTTTGCACCCTTTTGCGTTCGACTATATAGTCAATCAGCTTGATGCGGGCCATGTATTGTTCTTGTCCACCAGGTTCGATGAGGTTGTTCTCAAATTTGTTGACGATGTTCATGGCATCCATGGCGGTTTCGTCAAACGGTTGGTCTTCGGCGTCGATGCACTGCCTTGCAACCCTCAAGATGGACTCCTTGGTGGCTACCGTTCTTGATTTGACCGTTCCAGACCGAACTACCTGGTCGTCGCCCGACGGGACGAACAACCGGAGCCACGTCTTATTGTTTTGGTCTCTGGGGTCCTGAATCCATCCTCCTTTGATTGCCGAGAACGGGATGATCTTTGGTGAAACGATCTGTCCCGAATCAGTCAGTCGGCCGCCATATTCCACCATCAAGGTCTCGGTCGGGACGAACAAGCAAATGTAGTCCCCCCTTCGCGTATCAACGCTCTTCGTGATGGTCCAAGATCTGTGATCCCAAGGTACATACGGGTTGAAGAACGTGAACATCCGATGACCTTCTCCAATACCTCCTGGAATTAATCCCTGCCTCCAAATACTTCGAAGGTTGGTCTTCTTGGTGATGTGGAAACAAACCGGTAACGATAAAATGGTGTTGGGCGCAATTGGATGTGAAAGTAATGAGGACAGCAATGAGACGTCGTCCCTTGATGATCCTTCTTTGTGCCCCGTAGGAGCACGGACTGCTACAGGATATAGCAGTAGACCTTCATCAGGGATGTTCGTGTCCGCATCAACCTTGTTGTCAATGCACGTCAGGCTTGTGCGCTCAATGTCCTTGTTGATGCCAAATGCCAAGACTTGTTCACGAACACGACGTCCATACCGGGCACAGTGGAACATGATCTTGAAGAGCAATGTCATGCGGAAGTTTGCCTCTTTGAGGTTCCACGCACTCTGATCATTGGCTCTCCCTTTTGGAGCAAGGAACACATGTGGCCAGCGTGCATAGTCGTGCCTCCAGATGGACTCACATTTGAGCACGTCCTCGATGGGCACCCAGCCGGCGTCATCACATGGCAGACTCTGTTGCTCTGATGCTTTCCCCACGTTGTGCCGCAGGATCTTGTTTAGTGATGCACTCACTTTGTCCTCGTAAGTGTTGAGTCGGTTGCCAGTGTCAAAGCGGTAGTTTGCTGCATATTCGACGCCGCCGAAATAGGAGCAATTGAAGAAATGCGCCCCCGTCGTTGGGATGATTTTCAAGAAACCATCTTGCGGCGCCTCAACTCTCTTGTAGAAGGGCTTCCTGATGTTGTTATCAGAATAGCTTGCCATGAATTCTGGCACAGACCACGAGTCGCCTCCTCCTCTGACAATAGCGTCTCGGATCACTTCGTTGAGGTCAACAATGTTCTGTGGTCCTAGCTTTGTGATATCACGTCCTTCTATGCAGAATCTACCATACTCATCGAGGTCACCAACTTCGGACATGGTTCTGATGCAGTCGTACCATTGGTGTTCACTGAACCTCGATCTTGTGGGTTCCTCCGTTTGCCCCGACCCGTCAGTAGCACCTGAACCGTCCTTCTTGTGCTCAGGAGGCTCCATATCGACGTCATCAGATGTTGGACTATCAGCCTCGAGCGACGCTCGGACGGCCTTTAGCACCTTTCTGACTTCATCTCTCTTCTCATGTTCACATTCAAGATGGCTGTGCTTGGTGCTACCGCAATACAAACACACATTGACATCCTCGGAGACGGTGAAGATCTTTCCCAACGCATCCAAAAGTTGTTGCTTCCCGGAAATCTCTGAATCCCTGACAACATCGGTTGGATCATTTGCTGGCTCATCAGCTTCCTCCTCCCCAGGGTGAGCCGACGACTCGTCACCTGGCTTGGCATCTGCATCAGTGCCCATGCTGGCATCATCCCCTGTGATGTTGTTCTTCTTCCGATAGTGGGTGAACACCTGGTCCTTCTCCCAGTCCGTAAGACAGCAGAAGTTAGCCAGTGAGTCGTATCCGGGGATTGCGTGGATGATCTTCATGACCCTTTCGGCTTCTGCAGTTTGCAGTGTGCAGTCGAAGGATCCCCGTCTCTTGTCATTGATGGTGCTTGAGGTTCTGGAGGTCGAAGTGAACTGAGCCAATGCCCTTTCCAATCCATTGAGATATTCGGCTGGATCGACGCTGGCATTGAAAATGTCCACAACTCCCTTGGCCATGTTTGCCACATCCAATACACCAAGCCAGAACTCGATGATATCTCCAGTTTTCTCAGCGGATGCACGGGAGAATCCAAAGATCTCGTTCCTCTCCTTCACCTCGGGAACGGCAACCTTTTCGAAGAAATCTTTGTATGCGACGTTTCCGCAATCCTTCGTGACTCTATAGATCAAAAGCCACTTCTTTGCAACATCATCGAAAACTCTTTCTCGATATATGCTGAATTGCTTGCCACGTCCGTTTCGGAAAATTTCCAAAGCTTGTCTCTTCGAAATTCTGACTCCACCCATGTGAGATAGAGATTTCATCAAGTGCTCCCCATACGTCAACGATGCATTTGAAATCAACGATGACGCGATGAATGTGAGCCAGTTTTGAAATCCTTGATGGATGTCGACAATGTCAACACCGAGGTCCTCAAATGCAACTTTCAACCTGGCTGCAAGGAGTAGTACGGACTTCCTGGCCTCCAATGTGGGAGATGATCGCTTGTAATGGTCCTGAGTGTTGGCGGAGCAATTGATGCAATGGGTT